AATTTAGTGCGAAAAATTGGTCAAAGTGTCGCAGGGCTTTTCGAACAACCTAATACATCAGATCACTGTTGGAATACGGGTCTTAGTCTTCCCCCTAGAAAGAGGCGAACCCCACTGGTTTGCCCACGTGCCAACCTGGTTGATAGCATCTTGCAACAGAAGTTTGTCCAAGAGGCGATCGGGTGGTACATGAAGTCCTCCGCGAAGGCAGCACACTTTACTGCTGTAGATGTACTGAGACGCGGTAGTTCAAGTGTGAATATGTTGGAGAGAACAGGAGACAAGACTTCGCGGCACACAACTGTGCACCCGCCTAAGTTCCAGAATTCCCTAACTCGTACTAGATCAAATCTGTCGGTGAGGAGTGAGTCAATCCATTTAACAATAGAGTGGTCACCAACGGTGGGAAGTTTGATGAGCTTTCAATGAGACACTCTGTCGAACGTCTTCGCAAAGTCCAAATAAATCACGTCCGCTCCGGGGCCATATTCAAGTTGAGTTGTCCAATCGTTAAAGGTACGATGGTCTGGTGTAGACGTTGAAAATATGGCGTTGAGGAGGTAGTCTGGCCCGCGACAAACAACCTGTACAGGTTTCGCATTAAAATTATAAGAGGGGGACGCTATAGCGCAATATAAGTCTAGTGACGCCTACTTTTCTCCAGTGGCTCCGCCTCCAGACTCCGTCTTCAAGGCCCGTCTGTCAGTGAAAGCGAAGCTGCGGGGCAAAAAAGCATGAAAATCGCCACTTGAACGGCCGTAGAGTTTTTATCGGGAACTGAGTTGTGCGGATGAGGGCGTAGCGTTGGAGATGGAGTTTATGGGCACATGCAAATTGGGATCGGGAAGAGGCCATATTTAGGATCTATTTGAGGCGTTTGGCTTTTTTTTCTTCACTATCGAGTTACTCAGAGCCTTGTCGTCTATGAGGAAACCCCTAATCACTATCTGTGATGGCGAATGATCATGAGCTTTGCCTTCAAGTGAAGCATGGCCGTTTCTGAAAGACCTGTTGGTGTCAGAAATTGTATCATATAATTATATCAGTGCTCCAAATGCGTGATGACCCTTTTTTTGAAGGTTTTCCGAACAACCTGACAAATATGGAGGTAATGCTGACCGGTCTGAAGCTGGACGGGTAAGAATAGGAGGCTCACCGGGATTCGAACTCAGAATAAAGCACGCCACCTAGTTGGTGTTTCAGCTCTATAAAACTCAAGTTAAACAGAAAGGTAAGTGGTCCAGAAATCATGTGAGCTATCTTTTTGATGAATGCAAGAGGGACATGATCCGATGTATCTGAACGGGTTTGAACCATCGGATCAGTGATGTAAATAATGCTTCGCTGATGAGTCAGAGCGAGTCACTCATCAGCGGAAATGAAGGACCACTATGCAGTACAATAGTATCATCGCCTTCATGAAAGGATTTAGCGAAGACGCTCACCAGAAGCTCAGCTTTGCCCCTTTTTTAACATACCGCATCACCGTTCTCATTCAAAACAATTCCCAGACCCTCACTTTTTCTTAACCTACTAAGGGACCTAGAAGAAGCATTTTATTCGTAGAGTAAATAACTTCCTTCCCCATTTGACTATGGAACTTGTTTACCCCCTTAAAATGACTCACGATTTATTGTATTCATCTAAATCCGCTTGGTTACCTCTCGATACAGCCTTGAGCCACGCCAATTTATCTTTATTGCTCAATCTGACTGAATATGGCGGAAAGTGCCCGCCAGTGGTCTTTTGAGGTTCCAGTGAAAAGAATAACCGGTAGTATAATTGAGCACAGCTAAAGAAAGCCGATATAGTTCATTGACTGAGTCAATGCTCTAAAAAGATCGAAACTGTTTGATTGTGCAAAGGTATTCCTTGATCGGTTCGCATTTCCATAGGCACGTATGAACATTGTTTTGTCATTTTGTACCGTCTGAATGTTAACATCAGAAGCAACAGATACATGATCACTACTACCAAGTAGTGGCTGGACTCAGTATTAAGTACAAGCTGTGAGTTAGTGTTAGAACAAGGGCCAAGATGTTTTGCCCATGTGAACTCTTTCCCTTTGACTGATCAGAATTGAGACATTTACACATTCCAACAAAGCGAAACGCCGTACTCCGCTTTTTTGAGGCCTACTTTCATTTTGCCTCAAAATTCCAGGAAGATTGAAATCACTAAGTAGATTAGCCGATTGACTGGTGCCTGCTAGGTCGCCAATAGCTTTGAGCAACTGCTCAAACATTGTTGTGGAGCCTTATGAACTCGGACCACTCTCACACTAGAAGACGCCATATTAAGGTCGCATATAATGTCATGTGCATCTGCTAGCGACTCCTTGAATATTGTCCGGGGAAAGGAAATTTTTTTGGCGATCGCAGCCGCCCCCTAGTTTCTTGTGCCTATCACCACATCTGAGGACTGACCGCAGTATCTCCCAACAAAGACTTGGTACTGATAATATCAGACAACCACGTCCCGTTGAAGCTACAGCACCTATGCTACCATTACGTAATCGGAGCAATAATCCATCGACATCCTTGGGAAATGAGCTAATATTAGCCAGTGTATAGCATAATCAGCAAACGTGTTATACAGGGGGGGGGGCAAAAAAAGTCACTTCGACCAAGTCACATATCAGCAAAGTTTTCGCAGCCCAGGCGGAGGATGTTGGTACGAGTACCAGGGCGGAAGATACCCAAGCTGTTCCTCGATAAGCAGGACGCAACCTGACTGGAGAAGACCTTCGGAATTTATGTCACCTTCAAGCAGCTGCGAAACTTACTTACGAAACTAGTATGGAGTTGCCCATGGATAGCTATCTGGAGACCAGCACTCTCAATCTCGAAAACCCCCAACATCGAGCAGCTCCGACAACGTCGCTACGGTCTAGGACATCATCTTCACCGTAATCGCCAAGGCGCGAGTTGATGGTATGGACCGGACGTGCCTGAAAGGGAAGATCGACATTTTCTTCGTGGACTCGGGCTGAAGGTTCGCGCTGGCGGTTACATCGAGTAGTTCGAGAAGAATATCCTCCCCAGTCGCCCGTACCTTTTTGGGAATTTTGTACTGCTGCAGGTTTGGGTGCCACAACATGGAATCGAAGGGCGTTGGAAAAACTCTCGCCTACTTGGAATGGAAGGGCGTTGAGTACCTGAAGAAGATGGAATATTTAACTATGTCCCCTGACCTAAAATCTCTCAATTACCGAGTTCGGGCGGAGCTCAACAAGGTGGTCTACAGTAGCCGCGAAATCAGCTATCTCGTTAAAGCCAGGTACCGAATCACGGTTGCATGGCAGAATTTCTCGACGGCGCTCCTCCAAAAGGCTGTGGCGGAGTGTCATGATAGTATTTAATATGCTGTTGAAATGGTGGTAGAATTCGAAGGTCAAGGAGGAAAAGTGACTTTTCCCCCTGTATGTTCAACCTTATTGGAGTATGGGTTGAGTTTTAAGAAATAATAAGCGATTCATCAATTTCTCGAGAAGCCTGGGACAATATCAAGCTAGTAATTCCCTGAGGAGTGCAACGTCTACTCTCAGCTTCTCTTCTGTCACGAGCGACCTCCCTTCCAGCACGTTTCCACTCAAGTTTCTCCTTGGATAAGGAAGCCTGATAGAAGCGCTTTTCTGAGCGGGAATCGAATCAGTCGGGGTGACCGTCGCAAAATAAGCCTGGCGAAAAAAGATTTAAGTAGAGCAGCTTAAGAATTCTGTTGTACCTCAGACTGAGACGTTCTCTTCTATACGTAGAGACAGGGGTACAATCAATCGGCAGATAATCGAAAAGTTGTTGTACACAACGGTTATCATGCTCTACTTCATCTCGGATTATTTTACTGTAATTCTCGGATACACCTACGATTACAACCGATCTTCTGCGCTCAAATTTTTCAAAAGACACTCGGGAGCAACTCTAGGCTGAGACCTTTCAAGAGGGAAAAGAGACCTTTGAGGAGTTCTTATTATGAGAAGGACAATCTAAAAACTTCGAAACACTTTCAGTGTTCTCTTCCTTCAACGCTACTTTTCTTAGACATGTAGTTTTGTTGACTCCTACATACCAACAGAAATGGCAACAGGGTGCAACGTGCAGCGGTGTGCACTGGTTCTTTGTGAGATCATCAACGGCCCTCGAAAAGTGAGGCGGCGTGAGTGAATCGGAGTCAGGTCTTCTTCTTCCTTTTCGACGCTCTCCGAAATTTGAACGGAGAGTAGGTCGGTGTTCTGATAATTAACTACTAAAAAAAGGCAGTGGCTATAGACAGCAAAATAGTGTGATAAATGCTCTCCGCCACTAGAAGTAGAGTAAGGTAGAACATCCACAACAACAAAAAAAAATCGGTCCAACAATAGTTAATTAGAAAAGAAGAAAGTCGGCAACCAAAGAATCAATGCACCTGATCCGGTGGCAACGTTCCTCCAGTAGCGTACCCTGCCACGACGGAACTCGCCTGCTCCGGTACAATAAATAACCACCGAACTATAATCGAATGATAACCTTACAAGTTTCTAACGTGAAACTACACAGCATTGTCGTTGATACAGCAGTGCTCGTTGTAGTCCACACGACCTTCCTTATGAACAGCTCAGATAATTATAACCGATCGTAGGCTCTCCATTTGAGAAGCCACGACGAAGTCAAATTGATCTGAAATTCGATCCCACAATCGGAGAAAACATTCTTGTAGGACACGTGTGGCTTTCTTGCAATCTTGGCGTGATAGATATCCTTCTCGTATTTCTTCAAGCTTGTACGAGATTGGATGGCTTTATTATTAGGCCTACGTTTTGATGCCTTCGTCTGAGTCTGAAATGGAAAATATGTGACTTGCCCGCTCAAGCGCCTAAACAATCCTCAAGACAACTTTCCTAGAGGTGAGGCATCTCGATATCAATCAATAAAAATTACGGCCCCCTGATCAGCCGGCTCGATGCGGAGTTGACCAGCGTGAGGAACACTTAGCCATGAGTAATTATCACTATTTACCCTTCTCAACCTCATAGTAGATCAAAATTTGCAATGATCGAGAAAGGGTGCCAGCTCATGGACTATGGCCACATACTCTCCCTTTCTATTCATCTGAGGGTCCTTCGCGGCAATCCAGAATGCCTAAAATGTCTTACGCGATGTGATCTCGCGTATTTTGGTCACCGGTACATAGAATGCGTGCCTCCATGATACTGAATCCGATGGACTCCAAGCGGGATTTGCCCTTGCCACCCTTCAACTGCCAGATGTTATTTGACCCGCACCGCACATGAAGAGACGACCTGTTTCCCCCATATACTCACTTCCAAGGCTTCGGCAGTGTATCAGATAGACGTCTGTCGACTTCGTGCAGTCATCTTGCTTTCCAAAGGGTCAAACGACACATTCTGGAGTGTCACACAGTGTGTCGTACAGACGGTTGCGAACCAGAGACGTTGAAGGTTAGATGAGGGTTCTTCCACAACCCTAATTTCGTCTTGCAGATCCGATGTTGTAGGGATCGAACTGCCTTACTCACTTGATCGAAAATGAAAGACAGCAAAAAACACCTTCATTAGGCATCGATCGAAAGCTATTTCTCAGACATATGAAATACCCCCTTCGCGCAACCTCGGAGCAAGGACACCCACTGAATAACGCAATGCCCTGAGCAATGTTCAGGGATTCTCTTTTCAACTCGATACCGGTCGATACCTACTGGCGACCCTGAACATACTGGTTACTACAGCTCGCTTTGTTTTAATTGGATGAGCTGGAATTGCATACTTAGGAACGGCACACCAATTCTCGACGGCCTTTCCCGGGTGAGTTTGATGTTGTTCGACTGCTCATTCAATAGTTCGAAAGAGGCATCCATTTCGCTTTGAGTCGAATATATAATAAGACAGCTTCATAAAGTATCGATCTAGTATAGAATTGGTCTGCATCTAGTACGGGTATTTCTCGACTTTGGTCTTCTTTGGAGACTATTGAATGGCAAGAAAGGCGGCGTAAACAAATGTCCCATAGGAAACTCAGCTGTTGTTAGTGATCACCGTCGATCTGAAAAATAGACAATTCGTAGGCGACTCCTCGTAGCACTGTTTACTTGTGAGGTCGATAGAAGTCCGTAATGACTGTTCTCCATCGTGTCAGGGATCCCTCTATAACACGCATAACCGACCATGAATCCAAATACCAGCGGTTCCATTTTCGAGCGGAGAAAGTCCGTGCCACGCGAGAGCTTAGTAGGATATCCCATGCACCAAATGAAAATATCAAGCAGCAACTGGGTTCGCAACAGACACTAAGTAGCATATCAGAAAACTGTATTACTCTGGCCCGCAGTAAAAAAATTGAGCGATTGAGGGATTAATATAGTTGAAAAGCCGTTGTCAGGCATGTAAACTCCGTAAAATATGGAGAGACGGCGAGAGCTCAAGCAGTTTGCTATTATAAGAACAACTTGCAAGTTGAGATTGCGGGTATACTACACTCAGCTCTGGGAAGGCATGAAGTTGAAAACACAATGGCTGATTTTGAAATGAAGCGGCACGTTGCTGACGCATGAAAACGAAAATTCCGGCGAAGGAAAGCACTAGAGCATTCTAGATATTTGCTTAGAAAACCCAGGCTCCACTAACGAGATGAGTGTACCCAGATCACAAATGACCTCCTAGCATTTACACCGCACTGCGAGCTGTAGAATGACGGAGCGTTATGTGTGTATTCGCATGAAATTTTTCATAACGGAGACAATGTAGTAGTCCTCATTTACAGCCGACTAACGCTCTCGTGTGCCAGCGCATTTCTCACCCTGAAGAGTTCAACCGTGGGTGCGTTTGGGATGTTACTGTCGCTTTTCGATTGGGTTTATGACCCGATTTCGTTATCAACTGAAGTTAACGAGGCGCTCTGACGGGGGTAGGCCGTT